CACCGGAAGACACTGGTGCCGGTGAGGGTCACCGTAAGACAGTAGGGTTGATGAGGGTCACCAGAAGACACTGGGGCCAAATGAGGGTAACTGCAAAATACTGGGGCCAGTGAGGGTCACTGCAAGATAATGAGGCTGGTGAGGGTCACTGGAAGACACTGGGGCTGATGAGGGTCACCCGGAAGGCAATGGGGCAGTGAGGGTCACCACAAGACAATAGGGTTGGTGAAAGTCATCGCAAAACCCTGGGGTCAGTGAGGGTCACCGCAAGACACTGGGACTGGTGAGGGTCACCACAAGATATTGGGGCCAAGTAAGGGTCACTGTAAAACACAGGGGTTGGTAAGGGTCACTGCAAGAAATTAGGGCCAATTAAGGATCACCCCAAAACAGTAGTGCTCGGCAGGCAAGGGTTAAAGCAAAACACTGGAGCTGGTGAGGGTCACCACAAGCATTGGAGCCAAGAAAGAATCAGTGCAAAACAGTGGGGCCAGCGAGGGTCACTGCAAAACTCTGGAGACACAGAAACAGGTGAAGGTCACCTGGAAGACACTGGGTCCGGTGAGGATTACCACAAGATAATGGTGCCAAGTTAGGGTCACTGCAAGACATTGGTGTTGGTGAGGGTCACCGCAAGTCAGTGAGGGTCACCTGTAAGGCACTGGGGCAGGTGAGGGTCACCACAAAGGCACTGGGAGGGTCACAGCAGGACACTGGGGCAACTGAGGGTCACTGCAAAGACACTGGGGCCGGTGAGGATCATCACACAACACAGCACTGGTGCTAGTGAGGGTCACCACTCACCACCAAGACATTGAGTCCGGTGAGGGTCACTGAAAGACAATGGGGCATGTGAAGGGCACTGGAGATGGTGAGAGAAGATGGCAAGTTTGATTATGAAGACACAGACGTGACAGATGCTGATGTTGCTGACACAAATAAAGCTTCAATCATTTAGTGACTCTTTTTTTTTTTCTTGATTAAGTCTGAACACAGTCTTTAGTTTTTGGTTGTCCAGACAAGTTGCATGTATAAAATGTTAAATTTAGCAGAAGCCAAAATTCTGCACTTAAAAGTTAAGCTTTTTACATGTACTCCAAAATAAACAGGTATTTTTTATCATTTATATTTATAATAAATCTAAAATGTTCTTTTAATTGGACTTAAGTTAAATCACAAGTATTGTTATTATAGACCCTATATGGAAATGTTAGTATGGTAGTTTCTTCCTGGAGTTGCTTTCTTATGTTGAACACAAAAGAAGATATTTTGAAGATTGCTGGTAATCAAACAGTTGGTGGTTGCCATAGTATTTATTTCCTACTATGGAAGTCAATGGCAACCACCAACTGTTTGATTACCAGCAATCTTCAAAATATCTTCTTTTATGTTCGACATAAGAAAGCAACTCATACAGGTTTGGAACGACATGAGGGTGAGTAAATGATGACAGAATTTTCATTTTTGGGTGAACTATCCCTTTAACATTAAAATAATATGGGTGAATGTGTTAAGTGAACAAAATGCTTTCTTTCTTTCTTTTTCATTCCTTCACCACATAGCAGTGACATAGAGAGTGGAGAAGCCTCTAGAGACCCAGATATAGGAGAGTAAAAGACACTATAGCTTGTGAGGGTCACCACAAAACACTGGGGCCACTGCTAGACAGTGGGGCCGGGAAGGGCCACCAGAAGACACTGGGGTCGGTGAGGGTCACTGGAAGACAGTGGGGTCGGTGAGGGTTACCGGAAGATAGTGGTGTTGGTGAGGGTTACGAGAAGACACTGGGGCCAGTGAGGGCCACCAGAAGACACTGGGGTCGGTGAGGGCCACCGGAAGACAGTAGGGTTGGTGAGGGTCACCGGAAGACACTGGGGCCAAATGAGGGTAACTGCAAAACACTGGGGCCAGTGAGGGTCACTGCAAGATAATGAGGCTTGTGAGGGTCACTGGAAGACACTGGGGCTGATGAGGGTCACCCGGAAGGCAATGGGGCAGTGAGGGTCACCACAAGACAATAGGGTTGGTGAAAGTCATCGCAAAACCCTGGGGTCAGTGAGGGTCACCGCAAGACACTGGGACTGGTGAGGGTCACCACAAGATATTGGGGCCAAGTAAGGGTCACTGTAAAACACAGGGGTTGGTAAGGGTCACTGCAAGAAATTAGGGCCAATTAAGGATCACCCCAAAACAGTAGTGCTCGGCAGGCAAGGGTTAAAGCAAAACACTGGAGCTGGTGAGGTTCACCACAAGCATTGGAGCCAAGAAAGGAGCAGTGCAAAACAGTGGGGCCAGCGAGGGTCACTGCAAAACTCTGGAGACACAGAGGCAGGTGAAGGTCACCTGGAAGACACTGGGTCCGGTGAGGATTACCACAAGATAATGGTGCCAAGTTAGGGTCACTGCAAGACATTGGTGTTGGTGAGGGTCACCGCAAGTCAGTGAGGGTCACCTGTAAGGCACTGGGGCAGGTGAGGGTCACCACAAAGGCACTGGGAGGGTCACAGCAGGACATTGGGGCAACTGAGGGTCACTGCAAAGACACTGGGGCCGGTGAGGATCATCACACAACACAGCACTGGTGCTAGTGAGGGTCACCACTCACCACCAAGACATTGAGTCCGGTGAGGGTCACTGAAAGACAATGGGGCATGTGAAGGGCACTGGAGATGGTGAGAGAAGATGGCAAGTTTGATTATGAAGACACAGACGTGACAGATGCTGATGTTGCTGACACAAATAAAGCTTCAATCAGTTAGTGACTCTTTTTTTTTTCTTGATTAAGTCTGAACACAGTCTTTAGTTTTTGGTTGTCCAGACAAGTTGCATGTATAAAATGTTAAATTTAGCAGAAGCCAAAATTCTGCACTTAAAAGTTAAGCTTTTTACATGTACTCCAAAATAAACAGGTATTTTTTTAATCATTTATATTTATAATAAATCTAAAATGTTCTTTTAATTGGACTTAAGTTAAATCACATATATTGTTATTATAGACCCTATATGGAAATGTTAGTATGGTAGTTTCTTCCTGTCATGAGCTCGTGTTATTAAATATCCCTGTCTACCACGTTACTAACACAAGTAATCGCCTTTAGAGTAGTAATAGAGAAGATCTGAATGAACAGATGGTCTCTTGATTAAGTTTGATACTGACGCATGCAGGAAGCGTTTTCCAGTCAGCAGTGCTGTAGTAGTACATGAAGCGGAGGGACACATGTTTTCCTGAATAAAGGCACTGGGAGGGTCACAGCAGGACATTGGGGCAACTGAGGGTCACTGCAAAGACACTGGGGCCGGTGAGGATCATCACACAACACAGCACTGGTGCTAGTGAGGGTCACCACTCACCACCAAGACATTGAGTCCGGTGAGGGTCACTGAAAGACAATGGGGCATGTGAAGGGCACTGGAGATGGTGAGAGAAGATGGCAAGTTTGATTATGAAGACACAGACGTGACAGATGCTGATGTTGCTGACACAAATAAAGCTTCAATCAGTTAGTGACTCTTTTTTTTTTCTTGATTAAGTCTGAACACAGTCTTTAGTTTTTGGTTGTCCTGACAAGTTGCACGTATAAAATGTTAAATTTAGCAGAAGCCAAAATTCTGCACTTAAAAGTTAAGCTTTTTACATGTACTCCAAAATAAACAGGTATTTTTTTAATCATTTATATTTATAATAAATCTAAAATGTTCTTTTAATTGGACTTAAGTTAAATCACAAGTATTGTTATTATAGACCCTATATGGAAATGTTAGTATGGTAGTTTCTTCCTGTCATGAGCTCGTGTTATTAAATATCCCTGTCTACCACGTTACTAACACAAGTAATCGCCTTTAGAGTAGTAATAGAGAAGATCTGAATGAACAGATCTCTTGATTAAGTTTGATACTGACGCATGCAGGAAGCGTTTTCCAGTCAGCAGTGCTGTAGTAGTACATGAAGCGGAGGGACACATGTTTTCCTGAATAAATACAGGTAAGCCAACTCTAAACTTTAATTTTTAAAAGGAGCAGGTTGAATCATCTGTATTTTCTATTCGTTTACAAAATTATGCTCATACACTTTGTTTACATGAAAATAAATTATGAATAACGTAAACGCGGCGTGCGCATTACGTCCGCGATAACTTGCAAAGCTCAAAAGTTACCTAGCAAATGAAAACTGCGGGCAGGTATCGCATTAGTTGGAGCATGTTTCATCTTTTGCATTTTTCGTCGTATAAAAATCAGTGAAGATAAATACTCCTCGAAAACAACACACTCTTGACACGGGAAGATTGACACGAATCAGCTCATATTGTCGCAATTTATCACAATTTTCATTCTTTTGGGAGTCAGGAAGTGTCTGTAAATTAGTATACCAGTAATTTGAGTAGCAGATTTGATAAGTTGTTTTCATTATTGGTTTGCATTCGTTCATAATAACGTTTCTCCCTTAACCTCTGAAATGTTTTTTACTTTAATTTTACAATAGGCTACCTCATCAACAAATAAATTGTAAGCATATTACTTTTAATTATTCACTCCTCGTGGTAAAAAGGGGGAATTTAAAACTGAATTAAAACAAATCCTGATTATTCTGTCCTTAAATCTCTGCTTTCTAATTAACATCATATTTTGGTCTATGTTTATGTTTTCTATAGTCAGGTCAGGTACTATATAAAAGCTTGTGTAAAGACACTCTATCAATAACAGTCAGATGAGAGCAGTCACCTCTGAGCTCAGTAGTCAAGGCAGGGTTGCAGATCAGATGAAAGATCAGATTAACCCTGGGGACTTGACACTAATACTGACACTAATCGCTAACAGTATTTTATTTCCCTCACTTTTTTTTTTTTTTGGTTCCTTTCTAGGGCTTGCAAATGATAAAGATGATAACAAGGATGATACAACTGAAAACTGAGACACTCTTTTGCGTTTGATGGCTGGCAGATGACAGAACATTAAGTGAAGTGTCATACTAAATTCAGGTATCCTCTTAATTAAGATCTACCAGTTTGAGGCAGAGCAATTACTATGGTTAGTAAGATGTATTGAATGTATGATGTGTCATAATATTAATATCCCTTGGTATTTTAGCTGCAAGCTTTGATCGTTAATTTTAAATATGCTACAGAAATAGGCTTTTGTAATTACACATGATGCATGCATTATTAAAAAAGTATTAAAATAACGATCAAGACAAAATAGACTGCTTTTTCCTTATAGGAAAATGCAAGCATGTCTTGCAAAAGAGAAATCTGTGTGGAGCTTATCTACAGGAATAAAGTAAAGTGGAAACCAGGGGTTCTTCTGCTTGTGTGTGTGTGGCTCCTGTGCTCACAGTCAGTGTCCAGCAGCAACCAAAGCTCTCGAGGCCAAACCGGTGAGCTAAGCTACTGCAACATCTCTCTCTCTTTCTCTCTCTCCCTTTTTGTCTTTCCCCTCGGGTCTAATTAAACACACTGGACACACAGTTATATGGCCCCTCTGGGAGCACAGTCAGACCACTGCTAATAACAGCTAAAGAACCATTTGCCACCCATTATAACTCATTCAGTCATTTGGCCATGAGGTGTTTGGTAGATTGAAAGTGTTTATTTACATACTTAAAAAGTCAAATAATATGTATTTATATATACTCCATCACTCTGTGTCAAATCAACCAAAGTTCAGAAATGGTACTTGCTAAAACTTTGAATTTTGGTCATTTAAAATTTTTTCCTCTGCTTTTTTGTGTCATCACTGGATTCTAGAGCTCAGCAGCATATGCTTATTGTAGTGTTGTGTATGTCCATGTGAGGGCGTCAGAATACTAGAAATAATGCTGCCTGTGCCTTTTTCACAATTTTAAATGTCAAGATGTGTGAGCACACAATATGACAAACATTCTGCATGAAATGTCTCAACCTGTCTTTCTGTCAATCTAAGGTCGGTCTGAAGTTAAGCCGGGAACCTGTGAAGTGGTGGCAGCTCATCGTTGCTGTAATAAGAATAAAATAGAGGAGAGATCTCAGACGGTCAAGTGCTCATGTCTCCCTGGACAGGTTGCTGGGACCACCCATGCCCAACCTTCATGTGTTGATGGTATGCCCACTGTCCACGGTCACAGCTTTTTATATTAATTTTTGTGATGCTGCTTCTACACCAATAGGTATCAGTACAGTCCATAACTGTCATATTGGTCAAAACAAACAAATAAATACTTGTATGACAGCATAAGCTGCAGTCAGTGGTATTTTAGTATCATTGATATTCGGTTATAGTTTTTGTTAATATTTTGAATTAGAATTTTAGAATTTTGTTTATGTGTTTTCTGTTTTATTTAAAGTTTTGGTAACAATTTTTTATTCTTTTTTTTTCTTTAAATATGTCTATACGGTTTTTATTAAATGTTTTATTAAATTTCAAGTAATCATTTTTTTATGTGTTTAGTTTCAGGTCCAGTTTTAGTTAATATTAATAAACCTGTCTGCATTTGATGGTTTGCAAACTCCTGTTGGCTCTATTTTAGTTTCAGAAACGGGTTAGACTTCAGGGCTCCATTTGATTAAAACTCCAGCAACAAAAAAACAGTGGCTTTCTCAAGCTGTCACTCTACGTAAATTTAGCCCAGGCTTCGAGGTGTGAATCTAATCCTGCTCTGCCAGTTTGCCGACTTTTCAATCCACAGATATTTTTCGGGATTTACTGCCACAGACTGTGTTTCTTGCTGGAGGTATCTATATTCTGGCTGATACAATAAACTAATAATTAATTAACCAATAAATGGTCGATATTAAAATTCTATAGTATTTTGTCTAAATAAATATAAATGAAATATAAAACTAAAAATTCACATCACTCAGTCATTTTAAATGCCACATAAATTTAGACATCCTAACATTATAATGCAAAGTATGAAAATGGATATTTGAGTTTAGCTAAAGATTGTTATTAACAATGTTGTTAAATTATTACTGTTTTTAAAGATTAACTTTAAGTAGCTATTAGCTGATGAGCTTTTACAATTGAATATCAGTATATCTGTAAATGTCCAAAATTGGCAGATGACGGATTATGGTATTTTTTATTAATAAAATTCATTCATATAATAATATTCCTCATTAATATACCCTATATATATAAAATGCCTTTTTTTGCACACCGGCCACTTGAGCTTGCATTCACTTGTGCTATCAGTGATGATTCTCTAGTACTTGGATTTAGATTGGGAAAACGATCATGCAGAATTCGATTCAAAGTCTTTATAATTCATTCTTAGATAAAATGTCAAGAAAAAAGTTTTGAAAGAAAAATCCAGATGTAATACCACATTCACTTTCATACATTTTCTTATATCTTCAATAGCATTACTATATTCTTGTGCCCGGGGTGCACATGTATTGTGTTAAGCTGGATATTACCTTTTTACAAAAGAAGCTGCTGACTGGGTATGGATCTGTCCCTGAATATCCTGCTGAAAAGACTAGCATGATTTTTCAGACCAGCACTGTCTTTATGATGAAGCTGAATGACCAGCACAAATCTTGCAGATTAAGGGACCCATGCTGTGACTGCGTCCAAAATCCAACATATGCTGTTCTGTCATGCGGTTTTGTCAGCATGGAGCATTAATCAGCCATAGCTCGTGCCTTTTTGTGTAATTTAGCATGCATGTTCTTCTTTCTGTGTGGGCTTAAGTGTGGGTTTATGTGCATCTGAGAGGTGGACAGTGAGTTTATGTGGGTGTGATGATATGGTCATTTTTTGTATGCCTCTGAGCAGGTGAAAACTTGAGAAAATTGAACAGAACTCAGTATTTCAAAGTGTGTTTTTAATCCAATGTAGTTATTTGTGATTTTATACATTCTTTGTACACTGATCTCTGGAATACTAGATTCTGATTGGTCTGTTGTGGAAAACATATGAAAAACGTTGTTTATATGTGACCCTGGACCACAAAACCAGTCCAAAACCAATAAGGGTAAATTTTTCGAAATTGAGATTTATACATCTTCTGAAAGCTGAATAAATCAATGGAAAATCTGGAATCTGAGGGTGCAAAAAAATCGAAATATTGAGAAAATCGCCTTTAAAGTTGTCCAAATGAAGTTCTTAGCAATGCATATTACTAATCAAAAATTAAGTTTTAATATATTTACAGTAGGAAATTTACAAAATATCTTCATGGAACATGATTTTTGGCATAAAAGAAAAATCAGTAATTTTGACCCATACAATGTATTTTTGGCTATTGCTACAAATATACCCCAGTGACTTAAGACTGGTTTTGTGGTCCAGGGTCACATATAATTACTGCTAAACTCTAGAGTCTAGACTGTTGTCTCTGGCAAACAGCATGCTAGTTTTATGTCTCTTGTATCACTCTGCTTTCTCTTTCTTTTCACATAAGTAAATCATTTAAACTAAATCAGTATTTTATATCATTGTTGTATTGCAAAGTTAGAAAGTTCAAAGTCCACTTCAAAAGGAGATATTTTATTTAACAGAAATCACTTTTCAAAAACTACAACGAACGACTCGTTTGGACTATAACGCATATTTTCCGGGATTTGTGATATCACAAATACTGACGAATGGGATGAGACCTGGTTGAGCTGCATTAGAGAAGACAACGAGTGTTATCACTATGTTGGAGACACGCTAGCTTTCCCAAGGCAGACAAACTTAGAGTGGTTACAATCATCCGGGTTTAAATCGTGCTCAAATTGATTTGATTTTGACGCAATATTTACACTAAAGCTGGCAGGCTGCTATGGTAAGGGGAATGACACAACATTTTCCGACCAGGCGCCGAGTGCTGCCAATCACAACACACACTGGCCCAGCTAACCAATCACAGCACATTTCGTATTTCAGAAGGCGGGCCTTCATTTGATACAGGAACTATTTCGAGCCGTTCATGCCAGACTGGGGAGAGAGGTGTTGTAATAAAGTAAAATATGTGAAAAATAATGTGTATGATGTGTAAAATGTGTAAAAACAACCTAGTATGAGAGCCTGTTCTAGTACACCCCCAAAACAAAATCAAGACTTTCTAAAAGAGCATAATAGGACCCCTTTAAAAATAC